TATTGATTTTGGGGTCAAGGGGTCAAAGGTCAAGGTCACATTGACCTCTTAGGTAAAAACCGTTTCCGATCAATAACTAAAGAACCCTTAGGCCTAGGAACTTCAAACTTGGTATGGTGATTGGTCATGACCAGCAGATGACCCTTATTGATTTTGGGGTTAAGGGGTTAAAGGGCAAGGTCACATTGACCTTGTAGGTAAAAATGCTTTCCGATCAATAACTTAAGAACCATTATGCCTAGGAACTTCAAACTTGGTATGGTGATTGGTAATGACCAGCAGATGACCTATTGATTTTGGGGTCAAGGGGTCAAAGGTCAAGGTCACATTGACCTTGTAGGTAAAAACGGTTTCCGATCAATTAACTAAAAACGCCTAGGCCTAGGAACTTCAAACTTTGTATAATGATTGGTCATGACCAGCAGATGACCCCTATTGAGTTTTGGGTCAAGAGGTCAAAGGTCAAGGTCATGACCAGTAGATACTTTATAACCCTTATTAATTGTTTGATCACTGGGTCAGAAGTCATGCATAATAACCTTATCACATGACTAATTGGCTGCTGATAGGGGGCATACATGTTTTACAAACATATCTTGTTCCTCGAGTTTTTTTATTTTAGAAATAGGAAAAAGTTGACATGGGCACTAGCTAAAAGCATGTTCATGATGAAAGGGTATGATCATGGCAAGTTTGTTGATACTCTAGATATGCTTAAAGAGGATTAAGTGTAAGAATATTATGGGGCAAGAGATAATCAATAGGGTTATTTATAGGTATAATCAGGAAATTGATAATAACTCAATGTTGATACAAAAGGCATCTCAGTCTAAACTATTGATCTTTATTTGGCCAAGTATAAATATATGAGCCGCTTCACGACAAAAACAACATAATGGGTTTGCGACCAGCATGGATACAGACCAGACTGCGCAGCTGCACAGGCTGGTCTGGATCCATGCTGGTCGCGAACGCACTATGTTGGTTTTGTCATGAAGCGGCTCATATAATTTTTTTTTCAAAATTGAAAAACTTTCATCATTAACTGTCAATGGCTTCATCAGGTTTCCTTCTAGTCTTGGTTTCAATTACTGGTAAAGCTGCATATGGGTCTTCCTTTATTCAAATTAGTAAATTAACCTTGGGATATACTCTGAATTCTGTAAGCTGAAGAGCCAAGAATGTCTGTAGTACATTCTTTTATTTTGTTAAAATTTTACTTCATATTAGGGTTAGGGTTCTGAAATGAGAGAAAATCCAACAACCAATCATTGGCGAGCTTTCATTAGTTTGAAATTGATGCGGTTTCTTATTTTATTTAACCCGTGGGAAACCAATACTGAGTAGGCGAAACATATACAGTGGTCATCAGATCTACATGGAAGATATAAGTAGATCTGAAATTTAGTCAAATTGAAAGGTGATATTCAACAAATTTCCTTTATACAACATATTTCATTCATAACTTTGGACAGATATATTGTCTTAATGAGGTGACATCTTTTGCAATTGTCAATTACATAAGTCATCAATTATACTATTTATTGCTGTAATTTATCAATTACATAAGTCATAAATTACACTGTTTATTGCTGTAAGAGGAGCATATTCTAGAATTTGGATGGGTTCATGACAGGGCTTGTTGGATCTAAAGATAAAAAGCTGTCATATTTATGTAAATGGTAACACAGTAATAGATAAAAGTCAGAATTAATGATCAGTGAGTTGAAGCTGGGATGTACTATGTATCGTATGTTCCAGGTTGAAGCAGCAGGCGACCAATTATTTTTTGTTAATGCATATTATAAAACACTAACCTATACTTAAAGAGGTGTTTTAACAACTGACAATCAACTAACAATATGGAGCATAAATCAGTCAACTAGTATCTAGAATAAATGTTATTTGGAACTGGGTTAATGTGGGTTTTCCCTTCTAACAAACTTTGACCGTTCTAGCCCACCTGTCACAATAGATTAGTCATCCTTTTTAGCTCGACTATTTGATAAGAATAAGTAGAACTATTGCAGTCACCCGAGCGTCGGCGTCGGCGTCGGCGTAACCACTTATGTTAAAGTTTTTGTAATAGTTCAAATATTTTCAAAGTCCATAGACATATGGCTTTGAAACTTTGCACACTTGTTCACCATCATGACCCCAAGCTGTAGACAGGAGGAGGTAACTCTATCAAGCATTTTGACAGAATTATGCCCCTTTTTCGACTTAGAATTTACGTTAAAGTTTTTGTAATAGTTCAAATATTTTCAAAGTCCATTGACATATGGCTTTGAAACTTTGCACACTTGTTCAACATCATGACCCCAACCTGTAAAGAGGAGGAGGTAACTCTATCAAGCATTTTGACAGAATTATGCCCCTTTTTCGACTTAGAATTTACGTTAAAGTTTTTGTAATAGTTCAAATATTTTCAAAGTCCATTGACATATGGCTTTGAAACTTTGCACACTTGTTCACCATCATGACCCCAACCTGGAAACAGGTGGAGGTAACTCTATCAAGCATTTTGACAGAATTATGCCCCTTTTTCGACTTAGAATTTACGTTAAAGTTTTTGTAATAGTTCAAATATTTTCAAAGTCCATTGACATATGGCTTTGAAACTTTGCACACTTGTTCAACATCATGACCCCAACCTGTAAACAGGAGGAGGTAACTCTATCAAGCATTTTGGCAGAATTATGCCCCTTTTTCGACTTAGAATTTACGTTAAAGTTTTTGTAATAGTTCAAATATTTTCAAAGTCCATTGACATATGGCTTTGAAACTTTGCACACTTGTTCACCATCATGACCCCAACCTGGAAACAGGTGGAGGTAACTCTATCAAGCATTTTGACAGAATTATGCCCCTTTTTCGACTTAGAATTTACGTTAAAGTTTTTGCAATAGTTCAAATATTTTCAAAGTCCATTGACATATGGCTTTGAAACTTTGCACACTTGTTCACCATCATGACCCCAACCTGTAAACAGGAGGAGGTAACTCTATCAAGCATTTTTTTTACTATCAAGCACTAAGAATAGTCGAGCGTTGCTGTCCTACCGACAGCTCTTGTTTTTGAAGTTGCGATGGTAAAAGTTTGTTTTTAATTCTTAATTATGAAGTTAGTTTATTGCTTAGTTTAATACAGTAAACATTATAAATGCCTTTCAACTTTATTATTAAGATATTAAATAAATATACCTTGAATTAAAATAAAAATAGAAAGTGTGATCACAATTCAAGTAAAATGTGTTTAAATACACACTTTTAGGTCATTTTGCAGAATAAAAAAAACATTCTTCAGGAAAAATGGAGTGACGGAATGACCTAATATTATGCATACAAGTTTTGTTTTGACTGGTTTTCAAATGGTTTGAAAAATTCTGGAAAAAAAAAAGTCCAATTCATTCATGTTTAAATAAAATGAATATTTCCAATTCCTTCATGTCAAAATAAAAAAAATATTTCCAGTTCCGTCATGTCAAAATACCTCAGCGGAGTTTTTTCCATCTAATATAAAGTTGCCTTATGTTATAAAGATCAATGAAAATGGCAAATGGGAAGGAAAGAAATTATAAATGATTAACCACAATTATGAAACCAGCTGTGATATATTCGGCATATTAATTTCTATGGAAACATAAAAAAAATATGAATAAATCAAGAACATGGAAAATTTTCAGGATCTAATTTAGATGGATTCTGCTCCTACAAGTATTTCAAAGTTGTATCTCTTAGTGATCAATGCCACACCTCTTAATGACACACACACACACAAGAAGATTGACAAACAATAATTTTACCTGTGATGAAAATGAAATTTCATTAACACAGCAACACCTGTTATGAACTCTATAGCATTTAACTGTATATGAAATCTTCGGTCTTGACACAGGTATGCAGAGTGTATATTCATGTTATATGAGAATGTGTTTGCACTCAGACATTTATCTCCATTTCTCTGCACTTGCATAATAATTGTCTTGTTTTATATTCATGGTCTACATTTAATAGGGCACTTCAAATGTGTGGAGAAATGTTAATGTGAACATTATTATGTATATCTTAACATATGCATTTTATTCTTGCATGTATTTGTAAGAAAGAATTCTAGAACAACCTCGTTTAGGTTAATAGCATGTAGAAAGAATGACTTTCTTGATTATTGCCAACCTGAGCACAGAGTGTTCAGACAGAAGCTTTTGTCAGAGCTTCACCATTTGTTGTATCAATAATACAGTTTGCCCACTTTGCTTTGTAGAGACAGCATCAGATTTGTTTAATTGGGTTTTAAGTCACACCGACACATTATAAAATTATGTCATATGGCGATGTTCCAGCTTTACTGGTGGAGGAAGACCTCAGGTGCCCTTGCAGACCGTACATTATGTAAGGCACGAACTGGCACCTGATTAAAACCACCGACGTTTCGTAAGCTAGCTGGATAGCTTCCTCACATGGAAGAATCCAAAGTCCCTGTCAGGATTCGATCTACAGTGGTGAGAGGCAGGTGGTTTGAAGTTGACGACCTTAACCACTCAGCTATGGATGCCCCCACATCAGTTTTGTAATCCAGGGGTCACTAAGTTTGATCCTCTGGCAGGGTAGATATGTCTTTGTCACTTCTGACATTGAGTCTAACGGTCATTTGTCTCTCACCACTGATTTAGGAATCAAGTGGGTCAAATGCAGAGATCGCGATGAACAGGTTAGTTATCCGGGAAAGCTGGTTAGTTGGAACGTCTGCAAAAAAAAAGACAAGGTTTCATAATGCCATATTTCTTTGGTAACCCTTGACCAAACTGTTATAATGAATGCTCCTTTAAGGTCACGCCCTCTGTAAAAATATGTAAATGGTTCTCATATGATACACAAGTAATATTTATTAGTTGATCATATGAAAAAGTTGAGGTAAATCAAATCATCTCTTGATTATATTTTGATGATATTATGCACTGAATAAATTGTATTTAAAATGATTTTAATTGTCTTTTTCAGGGAGGTATTATGGAAATCTTGGTGTTAAGGTCTGCAATGGGATTTGACCCGACAAATCACAAGTGGAAGGTAAAACAAATGCAGGATACAAAAGAGCATAATATCGATCCATCAATTATAAAGGAGCAGCTTGGTACGGGTATGTATACAGAGCACGTGAAATTTGTGAAAACTCTTCACCAACTCACGATGAGCAACAACACTATAATGACACTGATGTTTGTGATCGAGATATTCGCACCGGATCGACCGAACGTGAAAAACTTAGAGGCCGTTACACAGGCTCAGGATAAATTTACTCATTGGCTACAGATGTATTTAGAATCCATTATGCCTGTTTGCGAAGCACGCACTTTGTACCCGAAGCTCTTGATGATGCTTTTGGATGTGAGGAACCTTGGCGAGTCTAGTGCCAAGCTTGCTTCTCATTTAGACATTACAAAACTAGAGCCGTTACTCATTGAAGTGTTTAATTTGCAGAAATGACGCTAGATATAATGGTTCAGAAATGATAAACTTTCACAACAGAAAGTTTGAAAACGCAATGGAGTCACATGGGTTTGAAAATGTGACAGTATCGATTGATCTCTTATCAGACATTTGAAATTTTCCAGAGTTTGAACTTTTACCAAGGTGTTTTCATAATTATGGATATTGTTATTTTATTAGTTCCCTTTTTTTTCATATGAAAAATGGTGGAGTTATTGTCATGACCCATGTGTTGGCATTAGTTAACTTTTTTGTTAATGTCCCATAATTTCCCAGAAACTTTCAAAGCTTGTCACTTTCTATTTGGTATACATTTTCACTTTCAGAATGGTATGTCATTTCTTAAAGACAATTAATCTGAAAATTAGCTTATGCCAACTTGTGCCCGATTATTTGACTGCTTTAAGTATACTCTCTACAACTAAGAAAAGTTTAAAGGGTCTAAGGACAGGTCTTGTGTTAAATTTATCATTTCTCATACATTTGAAACTTGTCAGATTTAAAATTACCTCAGTTAGTTAATCAGGTAGATGTGAAGTTGTTTTGGAGGGAGATACTCCATTTATGATATAGGAATCTTCTTGCTGATTTACCATGAGGGTAAAACTTATATTAATGGACTTTGAAATGTTTTCTCAAGAACAATAACAACCCCTATTTGAAAACTGAGCCTCTTAATTAATTAATATTTTCCTTTCAGATTTCAAATGCATGACCAGATAGCTGCATACAATTATTAAGACACAGACCTACATTCATGATAGCATACCTGCATATGTACATACATACCTGCATATCTGCATACTTTCGTGCATTACTGCATACGTACATACTTTCTTACTTACATACTTACCTGCATACAGACATACAATTTAGATACTATATTTATGAATGTAGGCTTACACTGTCATGAATACAATGCCATTGCTTAAAATGCCATAAAAATATCATATAAATAATGAAGGCATATGGTTCCAAGAACCGCACAGAAAACTTGTATCATATTATTGCATTATGTTTACTAATCAGTAAAAAAACTCACATTTTTCCTTCAGACAGAACATTGATCTGCTGAATTTGTGTAATGGATTCATCCTACTTTTAATTTAGAACAGTCCATTTCAAGTATTAGGGGTTTCAGTATCAAAATACAAATATTGAGCAGGCAACAGTATCGAGTGTGGTCAGACTGCAAAAATATACAGGTTCAGGCCACCGGCTTTATACTGGCAAAGACTGGTCACAGACTAAAGGTTAAACATAACGTACATTGCTTACATGATAACAAGCCATTTAGAATGCACACTTATTACATGAACAAAATGGATGCACACTTATTTTACATGAACAAATTGGATTTTCTTTCCCCCTATTTTTATTACATTTGCAGAAAGTAGGTCAAGATAATGATAAAGCCGGTACTTCAAGTATAGAACCAGGTTGGTTGACACATTTTTGTATCGGCAAAGTCTGACTTGATTCTTTACTGTTGGCTTCTAAACTCAAGCACAATTCATATAATTTGCATGATTTTTATGAGATGAAATTTTTCATCAATCATCAAATTAAGTTGAACAAAAAATGCTTGAGTTTTTTTTATATCAAACTCTTATTTCAAGTTTTATGACCTTTATGATTCTTTTCAGATATCATTTATTGTGCTATCATATTTAAGCACTCATAGTTTAGACTAATTATGTATTTTCAAAATAATTGGTTTCGCTTTTATGAAACAGTATTGTTACAAAACAAAAGTTTGTTAATCAAAATGTAATGGTAGAATGATTATCAACAGGGAAATGTGCAAAGCAAAAACTACATTTTCTGACTAGTTTTACTAGCATTAATTTCAGTTAATGTCTTTTACTGCCGATTGGAAATGAGAAAGTTGGCATTTTACCGACTAAAAGAATAAAGTTTGAGCGCGTGTCAAGTCAATATTACGTAAGGCCGAGTAGTTTTCCTAAAAACTATAACTGTAAAATTTATGAAGAGGGAAGGTCCAATTCATTTATTAAAATCTTTCAACCCTTAATTGTGCTGACTTTATGAAGTGAATTTGCCCTCCATTGAATTTGGAATAAATAATTCAGAGTGTGGTATTTCAAAATAAACTTACAAAAAATGAACTACCAACAGTATTCGGCCATGTTCAGACTGCACAGATGCACAGGCTGGCCTGGCATTATACATGTACTAATGGCAAAGGCTTATAACTTTCAATACCTGATCTAATTAACTTTAAATTAACTTGATGAACACAAGCCTGGTAATGTTTGATTTTAACCTAGAAAAACTGCTCTGTATTTAAACCACACCACATAAAAAATATATTATCATGACAGAAAAAAACACCCCAAAAACTAAACACACACAAAAAAAAACACCACAAAGTAAAAATATGTTATTGATTTAGATTTTTTTTGTTCTCAATTTCTCAGGAACTGTTTTCTCCCAGACTGATTTTTGTCACATGATCTTGAAACTTTATCAGATTACAAAGTAATTTCCAGTTTTAAAGATTATAAAAACTGTTACATCAGTAACAAAACCATTATACTGTTAAATTGAATTCTTTAAAGTCGTTTTTCTAAATTGAAAAGTTAGTTCCTGGTTGTCATTCAGGATTGTTACCTTTATGAAATATGACCATTGACCCCTGTAGGTATTTTGGCATTTCAAAATTTTATTAATGTTATTAATTAATCCTTAGCCTGCAGAATTCATGTAATGACCATGTCTTGCTTTTAATTTTGCACCCCTTTTTGACAAGTTTCCCCTACCCAAACATAAGAAAATTTTAGGAGGGCCCAAAAGTTTAGAGAAGGGTCAGATAATGGTTTTTTTGTTTTACAAATACATATGAAACCACGCCAAAGACAAAACCAACATTATGGGGTTTGGGGCCAGCAAAAGGGTCCAGACCAGGCCCGCGCAAGGCCCCGCAGTCTGAAACAGGAACCCCTGCTGTTCGCTATCAGAAATTTTCTTTCTTGTAAAAAGGGTTTTGGGAAAGCGAACAGGGGAAAAGGATCCTGAGCAGACTGCGCGGATGCGCAGGCTGGTCTGGATCCATGCTGGTTGCAAACGCACTAAGTTGGTTTTGTTGTGACACGGCTCATAAAATTATAGTTTATACAAAGATCAATTAAAATAAAAAAATAAAATATTGACTGGGGGTATGGGGGAACAGCTCTTTCAGATGAAATGCTACACAGTTAGTTTTCTTGGTGATAATATGGCAACGCAACATTTTTTGAGGACTTGGTGTACATATTGCAACACATCATTTTGTTAGGACTTTGTATACATGTTGCAACACAATATTTTGTGAGGACTTGGTGTACACATTTAACACAACATATATATCTTAGGACTTTGTATACATGTTGCAACACAACATGTGTACATATTGCAACACAACATACTTAAGGACTTGCAACACCACATTTTCTTGGTGTGACTCACTGTTGTATATTCTTCTTTATTCTTTCATGCAAAACACAACATTTTCACACAAAATTGTCAATTTATACTTATTGATTAACTGTTGACAAAATTGTAATGATTATTTGCAGCTATTTTTTTTCTAACTTGGTTTAGAACATCACACGTTTTAAATCACAATATTTGTGATATACAAGTTTTTATGGTAATGAAACATTGTTATCTATAAATTAAATTTGTATATATGTGAATCATGCAGGAAGAGATATGTAATACTGCTGTATGACCCTTTGATATATGCCCTGAATGTTGTTCATTTTTTTAGGCTCCCGAAAAATATGTAGGGAGCATATAGTCGCTGCTTTGTTTATCCATCTGGTTTCCCTAGCAACCCATATCATCTATATTTGGTGGGTAGATACCTCACATGGTCCTATAACTTTCTGTGGAGTTAAGGGTCACTCGGTTCAAGGTCACCGATACTAAAAATAGATGTTTACACAATTTGTTTACATTATTTTGCATTGAAATACATCCACAGACATATGCAGGTTACGGGGAGCAGCCATTGCTTTGTTTTGTTTCATGTTGGAAATTTAATTTGATTCATGACCTACACATTCACGATGTAACACCATTTATTGACATATACATTCCTGTTACATGTTGAGTTTTGCATGAGTTCGGATTGTAAATGAAGTTGTGTACCTTTTTTATATTGGTCACATATTGTAAATATGCTTGAAAATAGCATAGGTGTGGTGTGGTAAAAGCCAACAAAGTTTGTTTAATTTTTTTATTTTTTTAACTACCAATACATGTTCACGTAGAAACTTAAGTGTGTCATATATTTCGAGATAAATTTAAAACAAAATAAGATGATCTAGATGAAGCCCAAATATACTGATATATCTAACTACCTTATGATAGTTAGAAGCTATAGAAGCAAAGGTCCGCTAGATTTAATATACATTTAATTTACCTCCCATTTGAAGAGAATTCAAAAAGGCTAGAATTACTGCCAGTTGCATTGAAACTGAGTGGTGTGGTTTAAAACCCAGAAGGGTCAACATTTTTTTTTCTTTTTCTTTTTATCTGTTAACATTATTTAAGTATATCTCTGAGGAATTATGGAAACTAAAAAAATATATATAATTATGGCTGGGATTAATTTGCTAAATAATGCTCGTTTTAATAACAAATATAATACCTGATATTTTCAGAATTTAATAAAATCAAAATTACATTGTAAAAGTATTATCAAACTATATATTTTTGGAAAAATTAAGGCAAACTTTGAAAACAGACCCATAATTGGGTAAATTTTAAAGATTTCTTTTTAATGAGGCTCTAAAAGTAGGAAAAATTGTCAAAAAACCCAAATGGGTTAAAAAAAGGGGGGGGAAGTTACTATTTTTTTTTAACGCAACCTTTTTAACATTTTGGAAATAGATTTGGGTTTTTGATTTTTTACCTTTAAAAAGGGTTATATTTTTTTCTTCAACAATTTTCAATTTGGGAAAAAAAAATTTTTTTATAATTTATAATATTAAAAGATTATTTTGGTTTTGCCCAATTTCTGAAAAAATTTCTTTTTAAATAATTTAAGGGTTTTGTTCAGAAAAAAGTTTTTCCCTAAAAAGGTTTAAACCGTTTTTGGTAAAATTTTTTGTTTAAATTTTTTTAAACTTTTCCCGTTTTTTTTTTTTAAGGGGAAAATAAATTTTAACCCCTGGTTTTTAAATTTTTTTAGTTCCTTATATTGCCAGTTAGGGTGGTCATACCTTAACATGCTGGAAACCAAGTGATTAGCCTTTATGACCGGTTTAGTAAGGCCAGCCTGCACTTCCATGCAGTCTGAGTCGGCACTCAATTTTAAAATTTTCATATTGAAATACCCTGAAGCTTTGAATAAACTGTGCCAATTTTAAAGCTGGGACAAATCCATTACACAAGTCAGCAGGTTAAAGGTTAAATGTACTTCAGATATTTTTTGATACGACTGAATTTCTTTATTGTAATTGAAGGCTTACCGTAACTGATTTTCAGTTGACAGTATGATTGAATAATGTTTGTATGCATGTTTAAAAAAATTTAGTGAGTTTTGTTAACTGAAAACTAAAGCAGTTTTCATGTACATTTTTATGTGTATGTTTTTGAGAATGCATTTATTCTTCACATTCTTATGCGACATTGTTTGTTACTGAAATTCCTTGGTTTTCATTTTCATGTACATTTTTATCATTTGTCATTAATTTAGTGCTATTATTAAATCTGATAGTGTAGATATAATTTATATGCTATTGTTATTGCGATGAAGTATGTTACAAACATTATGTACGTGTGGGTACGAGTGTTAGTGTGATGCGAGATATTCTTCTGAATTTTTAGAACAGTTTTCCAAAGTTCTTGACAAACTTGAGACGGGAGTATAACTACTGATTGTTATTGCGATATGTTTATATGTGATATCTTGATTACGGTTTCGTTAACACAACTTTCAAAGGAAGATCGTGTATTATTTATAATTATTCTTTGTTGTTTACATAGTGCTATTGTGTGAAGTAATATCCGGTGA